CACAATTCCTCTTCACAAGTTATAATGCTTATAAATTCTTAAGACAAGCTTGTAATGATCGTGATAGTGTTTCATTTGAAACATCATTCTTATACTTTTTAACGTTATACCCTCAAAAATTGATTGTAGTAACAAAACGTGTAGTGTAACTAAAGCTATGTTGAATATGGTACTGTTTTAGATAACCAATGCTCATACTATGAGGGTGGGTGTGAGGGTGAGGTGAGTTGGGGTGGGGGTGCGGGTGTGCATATTATTTCTGTTTTACTGACACCCACACCCAGATCTTACCTATCCTAGTCTAGCCTAGCCTAGCCTAGCCTAATATTGTCCGAAAAATTTAGTTGAAATCGCAATAAAAATAACAAAGTTCGTTTCTGAGGGGGTCCTCCTTAATTAATATCTAATCATAAAAGAAAACGTATTGTATACGCGATATTTTTCCAAAAACTAAAAGACCATTTTGAATTTGATTTGCATAAGATAAGTTTTTTATATACATTCATGGACAAGTCTTCTTCCTTCTTTGTTTCTGTGCTATCATACTTTTTATTAAGTTTATTGTCGAGTTGAAACATGACATGAGAGTTTTATTTCAGTATGGTGTACAGATCACAATGCTATAAAATTCAAGTCATATCTCTACTCGACAATAAATTTTATACAAAGTATGTGGGCATAGAAGAAAAAAGAAAGGACAGACTTTTTTGCACGAGTGTATTTGATTTTCATAAGAAGCGTTTCATACATACTAGTCGGATTTGAATAAAATCTCAACATTTGTAAGTATTTTTCTGTACAATTTGATGAATTCTACAATTTTAACTAAACTCTCACGTTTACGAAAAGCATACTTTTTGTATAAGAGCAAGCATTGAATCTTGATCAGTCACTTATATATCATACATACAGTTAGGCCACTGATAGATCAGAACTATGCAGCTTAACTCTTCGGCTGCGGGTTTTTTTTTCAGAAATTCAAACTTTCTTCTTTTTTATATATTTGAGCGTAGGCTAACCTAGAGTTCTAGTTTATTAAATACAAGAAGATATAGATGAAATGACGTCACCATATATATATATATATTTATATAAAAATCAAGCAAACTTACTTTATTCCTTTAGAGACAGAAATGTCTCTTACAAGAATTTCAGACTTTAACACATTTTTTTCAGCAATTCATTCATTCTATGATTACTATCCATTGTCGATTATCAAAATAAAATAATCTAATTATAATTGGAATTATATCAAAAAAGTCTCTAGTATATGCTTTTAGGCAAGCTATATGTTTCAAAAATACCAGACAATCAGTGTGGGCCCCGTAGGGAGCCACCTGCAGCTAAAAAGTTAATATTTTCAACGAAAGAGGTTGCAGTTTCTGGCCCTTTTCTGAAAAGTAGATTTGATGACATGTTCTTTTCAAAAAGACCAAAAGATCAATACTGCTCTCAGTAAAATTTTATGCGCAACGAACTGCTTTTCCTGAAAGTTTGAAAAAGTCTCATTCTTAATAAATCAAAATAACGCAGGTTTTTACGAAAACAAAAAAACAAAATATTGAACCAAACTTAAGTGACAGAACGGCAGTTTGTTATAAAATTTTTAGAAGCTATATAATGAACTAATATGTAAGTAGAGGTGTGGCACTATTTATTTTTAGATCTCTATCGTCATATTCGAAACAGTTAATTATTATTGGTCATGCATAGAATCCCTGAAGAAGCTGCATTACGACAAGGCACAAACATAAACCATGCAGAAAATTCAATATCAAGTAGTGAATTGTTGGAAGAAATGCTAGAGCAGGGCGACATTGAATTTTTTCCAAAACTCCGTAAACGTGTGGATAGATTTATTGATGTTATGAACCATAATACCACACAAAATAAACTCAAGCAATACCGAAATGATTTCGAGCGTCACTTAAACCATATTGAAGAAAGTTCCAGCGTTTTTGATATGATGCAAAAGTTACGTAAGTTAATCGATGATATCAACGATATTGGTATCAATTCACCGTTGCAATCACTACAACAAACTGGATTTGAAAATATTATGAGTGACGATACGCTCAGCTTTTTGGATAACGATGAATTAACTATTGAACAGAGAGTGGATCGATTTTTTGTTGTAAGAGAACAGGAAAATTCTCCAAATGAAATAACAGACCTGGCGTTCGAAATAATATCAGATATTCGACAAGCTTTTGAACCATTAAAAGAAAAATTGGTTCCAATAGAAAAGGCTAAAAAAACATTTGACGGAATTAACGAACACAAAAGCCAAACAGTGAGGGATTGCATCGTTGGAGCGACTTTAATTGCCGCTGTATCTTCAATAGTCATGAGTGGTGGTCTTCTGGCGCCCGTCGTCGGGATGATTGTTCCTGTCGTTAGTGGCGCTGTTGCTGGTGGCGCTACTGTTGGGGGTGCTATTGTTGGCGGGGCTAAAATTGTTGATACTTTTTTTGATAATCAACTACGCCGCGGCCGTTTCGGCTGGTTCGAAGATACCGCAAAATATTTAATAAACTATGTGAAGCGTAATGATGTAGACGACGAAGGCCTTCGACACTTCTTAGAAAGTGAAGATCTAGAGAAAGATTTACCACATTTCAAATTGTATCTCAATCAATGGATAAGTAAAATACGCAAGTATTTGCCGGTGGATCAACAATTTTTCATTGAAAAAACTGTTTGTATGAAAGAATTGGAACGTGTACGTGCATTTTTGTATGCCGTTGTCTTAAACAAGCCTGAATTGTTGGACGAGCACAACAGATTAGTTTCGAGTCTAATCGAAAACGCAGCAAGACAACCGAATCCCACAAACCACACGTTCTTGTTACCTTGTGTATCATTCGGGCAACTTGCACTTTCAACCGATGGGAAACGAACCGTTTGTTTCAGATTTATTCTGGATTCATCCGAAAACCACCACAACATCGAGCATATACTAAACGAGTTAAAAAGTATGTTTCAAAATGTGCAGTCGTGCCAGGTTAAAGTGGATAACGGCATACAAATGATCGAATTGAACATGGTTCTAACCGAAAACATACCGCAACTCATTGCAAAAACGATTTCAAAACTAGCTAATCTTAGTGTCCGAAGTGTTTTAATAGGAAACTTTGGCATAAGTGGCTTTCGACATGCCATGAATCCGGCCTACAATCGAATTTATAGCACAAATGGAAATGACAAAGCTGATGGCTTTATTCCCACATGGTTCTCAGGAAGTCTGAATAGAGGTGGAGAACCATATTATTGCCCGATTGGATGGCGACGGTATGCTATTGATGTCGGTATGACAGCAGCACAGTTTGAGCAAGAGTATGGAAAATGGCCAGTCGCCTATCATGGAACAAAGGGCGCATTGGCGATGTCAATTCTAATCAATGGCCTCAAAGCAAGCGGTCAGGGATGTTTTCTTCAAAAAAAAGAGGGTGCAGTTTATCTCAGTCCAAGTATCGAATACAGTGGTCATCCTCGTTATGCAAAAATTCTTTCAGTTAAATCCAAATATGTTCAAATGGTACTTCAAGTTCGGATTGATTCGCGACTGATCGAGAAACATCCAGGGACATTGCGCGGGGCAATGCCATATGATAGAGAAAAGGCAGATCCACATTTTAGTAATGATGAACTTGAATGGATTATTCGATGGAAACCTGAAGAGAATATTAAAGCTCTGAATGGTATCTTGGTATACGGGCTGATGTTTCGTGTTACTGATGAACATCCAGGGCGATTACCGCAAAATCAATGGTGGAAAAAAACACAACCTGAATATTGGGACTTCGAGTTGTGCTAGAATGGCAAATGTAATGGATTATTGCGAGTGAAAGAAATATTTATCGAGACGTTCACATATTATAACTTAGTACCTTCTAATGTAATTTACTTTTATTTATCACTCAATTCGATGAGGGTGAGGGTGAGGGTGAGTTTATTAGAAGAATTCTAAGCTTCTTACGATGTTTCGTCCTTGCTTAAGGAACTCATCAGGTAAGTTTAGAATTGATAGTCTGCATAGAAATGAAATCAGACAACAATCAATAGCTATAGAAGCTAAACAATCTAAAGAATTGAAGGCTCCTAACAACAACTGAAGAATGTGATAAACATCTCGTAATAAGTCGCAGATATTCTAATAAGTGGTGGGTTTATCAGAAGAGTTCTAAGTTTCTCATGATGTTTCGTTCTTGCTTAAGGGACTCATCAGGTAAGTTCAGAATCATGAACCCCCTAATAATCAGTAAACCTATATGTAGAAGAATCACAATTAATTCAAGTAGGATTAACAGGATTCTAATCAAAGGTTTGTACGATTAAAAGACCGTATTCATTCTCAATAAACGGTGACTTTAAAGAGGAATGATTCAAAACATATCATACTACGTTTCGCCCTTGCTTAAGAGTCATTGCACGTAAGCCACGACCATCGATGCTCAATGGTTTTCTCCGATTCGGCTGAAACTTTCACAGTAGATAGAGCAACTAAAGTCAGGAAGAAACTGCGGGTGTGGGTGTGGGTGGATGTGGGTGTGGATGGATGTGGGTGTGGGTGGGGGTGTGGGTGTTTATCTTCACTTACGTTAGTCGGTGTCCACAGCAGCGCCCACACACCCATACCTACACCTCCTACTCTCACACGCTCAAGATTTAATCTTTAGTGATTATAACCGAGAACACAGTATATACGTCTATCATAAATCAATTTAAATGGATAAAAAAATCTTAACAAAAACGTTGTGCATAGTTATTATCTCGATTCTGTCCTTTTCATAGATGATATCATACTTTTTCGTTTTTTTCTTCCAGCGTGGATATAGGTGAGTGTGGGTGTGGGTGTAAGTGAGTGTGGGCGTGGATGTGGGTGTGGGT